CCAACAGCGATTCAAAAAATAATTTTTCAGAGATCTTCCATCACTGATACTTCTCTCACTGGATCGAAACTCGATCTCGGAAATTGCTGACGGAGATCTTTCCGGACTGGCGAGAAGTACGCGATTGGAAAGTCTAACCATTGCAGCGAATAACATCAGTCAGGTATGGAAATATATTCATTGATCAATGTCAGGTTTGCTAATTGGGGCTTTAGGAGGTCGGAGGGTAGCGGAAACAGAAAAAATGGGTAGATTCGATAAAGTCGCTTCAAATCGGTTTGCCGCTTCTAATAAAGGAGGTTGAGGGGGCTGAGGGGCAAGGGAGGGAATCATATTATAAAAAATCATCAGAAAATCATTATCAAAGGCCGTTGGAATTTACACCTCATAGTGTTTCTGCGGTGCTGGCATCATTTGTGCGGAAAAATCAATTGCAGTGTTTGTGGCTACACTCGCGCGAAAAATGGCCACAGAGCGATCATTTTTGAGGTTTGCAACTCCGTTTTTCACGCGCAGGGGCTGTCGGCACGGCAGGGGCACTATACCAACCGTTACATCCACTAAATTATATGCTAAGCTAAGGAAATTGCATATCTAGCTGAACCTTATGTTTGTCCTTCTTCGATTTGAATAGGTACTGTGAGAATAAGCATGAATTTGAATAGTAATTAAGAATGGAACAGCGTATAAGAATTCGGTAAAAATTGAGTCAGAAATCTATGAATAGAAATTGAAAAGAGCCCATGATATTTATTCAGATATCGCAACGTGCGCTCTCTCCCGTGCAACATCTCAATGTATTGGCAATGCAGAACAATCAGTTGACATCCTTGACGAAAGGTGAGCATAATAACTGCCTTCCGAAGCATATGTGACGCTCCCAAAGTATGAAATTCAGATGGACAATCCTATCTTCGTCCGCTTCGTCGTCTTACAACATTACTGCTATCCGGCAATCAGCTTCGCTCAATCGGTGAGCACGATCTACCGCGGACACTTACAGTTCTAGCCGCCGATCACAACCTTCTCGAGAAGGTCTGCAACTTTTTTTTCTGGGTTCTTGTACCTTAATCAGAGACGAAATATTTCCAGATTGACGTCAAAGCATTCGAGGGGATGTCCTTGCATAAGCTGTTCATTAATAACAACAAACTGCCATTCCTGCATCGGCACACCTTCGACTCGATCTCCTTTGACACGCTTGAGGCTATCGACATCACTTGTGAGTTAGCTATTCAAGCTTCGAAAAACATAAAGGGGCGTAGAAGAGTGACAGGAGGGGAAAGCGGGAGGGGTGGCAAAGTGGAAAAGGTACCAGTGATTCTTTTATGAAGATACTATGCGTTTTAGATGGAGTGCTCACTCGATTACTCCAAAAATTTGAAGAACCTCTACTTCCAAGCCGCAAGCAAAAAACACATGTATCCCTTTTTTGCAATCATTTTGTGCAATTGCACCACTTTTGAATTAGCCGATGGCTATAGTCATTATCACAGTTAACAAACACTAGAAAACGATTGAAAAGTAACGCAAAAGATTACAAGAAAAAGACATTGTTCCATAGGGGTTGGGGCAAACTTGAAAATTAGTGCAGTCACGTATTTAACAGCTAAAATGCCACGAAAATCTCAACAACCCTACATCATAAAATTGCGCAAGCTTGAGAATTCAAATCAAATCCGAAATATTGTGCTCTTCTGAAATGAGGTTATATGACCGGCAAAATTTTGTTTAGCATCTCAAAATTTTTTTCGGAGGTCTCGGCATACGCATACCGCTTCATTTGTAAATTGATTCTGTTCGGCTAACATCACGCCCCTTCATTCATAAAAAGATTCTGTCGTCCCC